TCTCCTCTCTATTACAACCTTTTCCCTGTCTGCCACACTCGGTCTCTGCCACACTTTGCAATCTTTCACAATTTCTCTCTCTCTATTCCAGTCTTTCTCCTCTCTATCACACTTTCTCTCTACTGCAATCTCTCCTCTATCACTCTTTGTCTCTATCAGAATATTTCTCCTTCTCTCTATCACTTTCTCTATTGCAATCCTTCTCCTCTCTATCATACTTTGTCTCTCATAATTCCAATCTTTCTCACACTTTCTCTCTCTATCGCAATCTTTCTCCTCTCTTTCAAACTTTCTCTCTCTATTACAACTTTTCTCCTTCTCTATATCACACTTTCTATCTGAATATTTCTCCTCTCTACCGCAATCTTTCGCCTCTCTAACACAGTTTCTCTCCTTTTCTCTATCACAACCTTTAATAATAATAATGATCCTTGCATTTGATATAGCGCTTTTCACTTCGGGAGGACATCCCAAAGCGCTTCACAGAACACACTGTAAAGTGAATTGACTGTATATTTGTGGGCGAACGCGGCAGCCAATTGCACACAGCAATGTCCCACAAACAGTTGTAGATTGAAAATGACCAATTTATTATTGTTTTTGGTTTTGGAGGGATTATTATTAGGCTCTGTGTGGAGTAAGGAAACTTGCCCAAGGTATCACCCTCTGCCTGGATTTGAACTCCGGTCTCTCACTTGCAAAGTGAATGCTCTAACCACTGAGCTACAGGACTTTCTCCTCTCTATCACACTTTCTCTCTATTGCAATCTTTCTCCTTCTCTCTCACACCTATTAGTGCTTGTGATCTGATTTGATGGTGTGTTTGATAGTGTCTCTGAAGCATTCAATAGGAAATTCTAGGAAAGTGTGAATGCTCTAAAGTAATGAATGTAAACACTAGGGGCTAATAATCCCTCCAAAACAATAATAAATTGGTCATTTTCAATCTACGACTGTTTGTGTGACATTGCTGTGCGCAATTGGCTGCCACTTTCGCCCACAAATATACAGTTAATTCATTTTACAGTGTGTTCTGTGAAGCGCTTTGGGACGTCCTCCCGACGTGAAAATTGCTATATCAAAATGCAAGGATTATTATTATGTAAATCTATCTGTATTATCTGCTTCAATTACAACTTATGGGAGTGATTTCTGCACAGTGCTGCCCTCTGTCTGAAGAAGTTCCTTCTAAATTCTCATTTCAATCCTCCAGTCACTATCTTATACTCGTGTTTGTCCGTGAAGTCTCGGTCACAAATAGGAACCACCTATTTGAGCTGAAATACGGTGTTGTATTGGTTTCACTTGTGGCATTGTAATTAGTCCTGTAGCTCAGTGATTAGAGCACTCACTTTGCAAGAGGGAGACCTGAGTTCAATTTCAAGCAGGGCGAAACCTTGGCAAGTTTCCTTACTCCACACGCCTAATAATAATCCTCCCAAACCAAAAATAATAATAAATTGGTCATTTTCAATCCACGACTGTTTGTGGGACATAGCTGTGCGCAATTGGCTGTCGCATTTGCCCACAAATATACAGTTAATTTCACTTTACAGTGTGTTCTGTGAAGCACTGTGGGACGTCCTCCTGATGTGAAAAGCGCTATATCAAAATGCAAGGATTATTATTATGTAAATTTATCTGTATTATCTGCTTCAATTACAACTTATGGGAGTGAGTTCCGCACAGTGCTGCCCTCTGTCTGAAGAAATTCCTTCTAAATTCTCATTTCAATCCTCCAGTCACTATCTTATACTCGTATTTCTATGTGAAGTCTCAGTCAGAAATAGGAACTACTTATTTGAGCTGTGACACCATGTTGTATTGGTTTCACTTGTGGCATTGGAATTAGTCCTACAGCTCAGGTGGGGAGTCCTGTAGCTCAGTGGGTACAGCACTCGCTTTGCAAGCTGGAGACCTGAGTTCAATTCCAGGCAGAGGGCGAAACCTTGGGCAAGTTTCCTTACTCCACACAGAGCCTAATAAAAATCCCTCCAAAACCAAAAACAATAATAAATTGGTCATTTTCAATCTACGACTGTTTGTGGGACATTGCTGTGCGCAATTGGCTGCCACATTCGCCCACAAATATACAGTCAATTCACTTTACAGTGTGTTCTGTAAAGCGCTTTGAACGTCCTCCTGACGTGAAAAGCGCTATATCAAATGCAAGGATTATTATTAAGGAAACTTGCCCAAGGTTTCACCCTGCCTGGAATTGAACTCAGGTCTCTCACTTGCAAAGCGAATGCTCTAACCACTGAGCTACAGGACTTTTTCCTCTCTATCACACCTCTCTATTGCAATCTTTCTCCTTCTCTCTCACACCTATTAGTGTTTGTGATCTGATTTGATGGTGTGTTTGATGGTATCTCTGAAGCATTCAATAGGAAATTCTAGGAAAGTGTGAATGCTCTAAAGTAATGAATATAAACCCTGTGAATTCTTTGAACCAGCCAATAGCCAACAGCCCATGTGATGACACTGACTGTTTGCAGCTGTGAAGGGAGGACGTTCCCTTCAACTGGACCTTGTGAGGAATGTGATTCGCTCATTGGCCACATGTCAAACCTGAACCTTTGGGTATTTAACCCAGAGGCTGAGCTCAGTCAAACCATTGGAGGAAGGAATCACCTCATCAGCTTAGAGATAGCAGATGAGTTGCTGGAGGTGTGTAGTTCGGAGCAGTGAAATGGTCAGTTTGCATGTGGTGGAGCTTGGCTCAGGCTGGTCTCTCTGGACTATATCAGGTAAGTCTGCATTTGTGAGAACCTTCTGGTGGGCTCTAAATTGTCAGTAATGTTTATGAAGGGAAGTTGTCCAAACCTTGGGTGTTGTCAGTCTTGTGAGCTTCAGCGACATTATCACTGTCCACCTGCTCTCCATGTCAATTGTGAGCAACTCTTGGCCAGTTTGGCTTCTCCTTTTATTGTGTAATTTGTCTCAAAAACAATTGCTGTTTTGTTTCTACCTGGAGTCTGTAGACAACTCCCACCAGTCTTCCCTCCTTTGCTGTTCTTTAATTCTACCCATAGTATTCCTGTGGCCTGATCACCTTTATTAAAGTCCTTTCTATCTACTGTTGTACTTGAATGTTATCCATATTGCTTCCCTCCTTTCCCAATTTCCCTATCGTTTCTGAAGATTTTACAGCCTGGAATTTTAGCTCCAGTAATGCCCAACTTGTAGCCAGGTCTCTGTAATGGCTACTACATCAGACGCTTTAAGCTAAATTTGTGTTCCTAACTTATTTTTATACTATGTATATTTGTCACAGACACTTATTAGGGTAACTGTCCTCACTTGCCCATATGCCCAATAGTGTTTTTCTTGCTTTTTTGTGTTTATTTTCTTAAACTGTTTCTCTTTCTGGAGCAACTCAGGTAATTATCACTTTTGGTTTTCTGGCCTTTGCTCTTCTCTCAGTATTTAGTTCTGTTGTTTTCGATTCAGTCAGAGGTTGTCCTGGAGCCAGTGCAGGTTTGTGTTGCTTTTGAACGCTGGTCTAATGCTTGTTCATACCAGATGATCACTGGGTATTCATACATCAATGAACTTTGTTGCCATCCACTTCGGTTTAATGTGAACATCTCTTGACCTGTCTGACTTTTCTTTGTATTGTGTAACTCGTCTCAGAGATGGTGATGACAGAATTACTGTATGGAATTATTTTGCAATGTTAGTCTTTAAACCATCATCAAGATTTTTGTCAAAGACGTCCAACTAAGAATTGTTTGGAGATGAGATGCAGCTGAAAATTGTGGGAGATGTAAGTGATTAATGGGCTGAGCTCAGTTGTTCGGTAGAGTCCTGAGCTCAATGGTTAGAGCACTCGCCTTGTGAGCGAGACACCTGGGTTCAATTTCAGGCAGAGGGCGAAACCTTGGGCAAGTTTCCTTACTCCACACAGAGCCTAATAATAATCCCTCCAAAAAGCAAAACAATAATAAATTGATCATTTTCAATCCATGACTGTTGGTGGGACACTACTATGCGCAATTGGCTGCTGCGCTTTGCTCACAAATATATGGTCAATTCACTTTATGGTCTATTCTGTGAAGCACTTTGAGATGTTGAAGACGTGAAAAGTGCTATATCAAATACAAGGACTATTATTATTGTCACCCGAAGCCAAGTCTGTACTAATAGGAACCAAAGCTGATGACTGAAACTCCACGCCCTGTTTCTCTCTCTAGCACCTTGGGATTCGTGGAGGATAAGTAAGGTAAGTCTGTACTAGTGGGAACACTATGGTGACTGCAAAGGTTGTATATCCTTCTTTCTTGTGCCTTTCCACACTCCAAAGGTTCAGCAACACTATGTAGACTTCATGCAGGATGTCTGACATCCAAGCACACATGTGCATTAACTCTGGCTGAAGGTTGGTTTTGATTGCCCAGAGCCAATATCTGTCCAAGTTGGTTCAGTTTACTGGTTGAGTCAGTTTATGCCAGGGATGGTTTGGAGCAGTTGTCGATCATTAGTTTGTGTCCGAGTTGGTTTAGTGCAGGTTGTGAGGTAGTAAAGGGCTTATCAAAATCGGATGAATGTTTGAGATCAGAGAGAGGGGTCCCAGGTGCTCAGGATTAATTGGGAAAAAATGTGTCTTGGGCACATTTGAGGTATAAAAGGGAGGAGGTCGAGATGAACCAGAATTTTTTTGGTTTGGAGTTTTCACTGATACTTGACTCTTAACATTACTAATTATACAAACTCTGAATTTCAGGAACCTGTAAGAGGTTGGGGGTAAGTTACTCTATCTGTTACTGCCTCACAACCTGCAAAATTGTGAAGAGGTGGATGTCTCCTTCAAGAGTGCACTTAAACATTGTTTATACGCCTTGCTCCAAAGCGCGACAATAGACTGTGGCGGACTACTCTTGCCCAGAGAGAATGAGA